CTCCTGAAATGCTGCTGTATAAAAATATTTTCCCTCTAAGAGGAAGTTTTATATAGCCTTGGTAATTAGTAGAAACTTGCCTGGCGGAACATATGGTAAAAAGACAAGAACCCAGAGAAGAGGAGACACACACGTATGTACCCAATGTGACACGCAAAAGGCTACTAAAAAAAAAAAAAAAAAGAAAAGAACCCTGTTAGAGGAGCCCTTCCTCATTATGAGACTCCAGTGCCACACCACAGCAGAGCTGGGACAAACTAGACGAACATCAGGAGAAGGCCATGAGTGGCTGCAGTCCTTGGGGAGGAGAATCAAACATGGCTGAGGAAAGAAAATAGAGAACAACAAAGAATTATCCTGGAATTGGGAATATAAACACTTCCCCATCACAAGTGAGATTGCCAGATCAGGAATCATAACAGAAAGCCTTAATAGAAAACAAAACGTAAAAAAAAAAAAATTTAAATCAAGAAAGAAATGAAACAAGTACCCATGAGTGACACAATGACTAGGAAAGGACAGATTGCTTATGATCAAGGAAAAGCGGAAATTTGGGGACGTCTTTCCTAGCACAAGCTGTCCACAGGAGCTATGCTTAGGATGTTGTCATAATTACTCTCTCTCCATCCTGTCAGCTCTGACCATAAAGTAATGAAGCCTCTTAGGTATTCAAACAGTGTTGATTTTCAAAGAGAGTGAGGCTGTGCTTCTCAGATCTTAAAGTCTCCGGTTTCAGCCGACTACTTTTGAACTGAACCCGCTCAGCAGACGACTGTGGCATTAGGCTTTGCCTCTGAAGGTGGTCCCCGGAATGATTTAAACAATCATACACCAGTGTAGGTGGTACCACTAAAGTTAGCATTTAAACTTCCCAGGTAACTTTTTGGAAGAACGGCATTAATTTGGAGACACAAGTTCAAGAACAGTGGGTCAGTAACCCGTCATCGTTCATACAAAATGCACTTAGATTGCTACTGGAGCAGGAGAGTTGGTCCTCCACTGCAGTTCTCTACACAGGATACTGAGCAAGGCACCAACCGGATTGCACGGACCAAGGAAGAACCCACCCTGGAAACCTTGAAAGCAGGTGTGGTGGAGATGCCACCTGTCGGATCATTGCTGCTCCTGAAAAACAATGAAATCCTTGTGCTGCCATTTGCCCTACGAAACAGTGTATTCTCAGATGTTTCACACGGGCGTTGTGCTATTGGACAAGGTGGTCCTAGGGACACGGATAATGTCACTACTTGGCAAATGCTGAAATCCACTGCCTCCCCTCAGATATTCCACAAGAGAGCAAGAATACTTTCAGAGAACAGGGAAACTTCAATATCTTAAATGAATGACCATCTTTCCACAGGCAACTCATTCTTTCTTTATGTAAGAAACAGTCCCAGGACAGACTAGTAGATGGGCACATCTCCACAAGGAGGGATCGAACAGCCCCAGCTCAGCCTCAAAGAGTGTCAGAATGACAAATTCCATGTTGTTTTGTGATGTCTGGGCCAGTTTCCTGGGTCTTGTTATGAGCCTCTGCTGTTTGTTGGCGTTCCTTCGAGGTGGTCAACTCCAAAGCCATAAAAATATGGCATTTTTACATGGACTATGGGAAATAACTATAGCTTTTCATAAACCTTGGGAAAATTTTTTTCTTTTCTCTTATTTGCCAGCTTCTATAAGATCATTTGGTTTCCTGAAGCTTTATCCAAAATAAGAAGGAAATTAGCATAAAATGTTGAATTGGGCACTCAGAGGAAACCCAGAAATTCAATAGGACAAGTAGACATACTGGTAAATGGAACGAGTTACAAAAATGGCATCCCTTCTAAAGGCACCGGGGGATGAGCCAGGCCCACATGGGGAAGTCCTTGAGGCCACTGCAGGGGACAAAGCCAGGAGATCATCACAGGTGCCTTCAGACCTGAGGATGAGCCATCAGAGCCCAGGGAAAACACTAACACAGTTTGAGGGATGGCTTCTTCTTCATAACTGGCCATTTTCTCTGATAAACCAAGATGATGCTTTCAGTTCAGCCTAAATTGGTGAGCTGATGCACTGAGGAGGGAGAAGGAATGGAAGGAAATAGCATTTGCTGAGTTTCTTTCATGTGCTGGAGACTTTATGTCACAACAGTCTACTGAAGGAAGAAGCATTACCTCCATTTCTGCACATGAATCACCTGGAAACACACAAGTTAAGTGATTTATCCACAGTCGGAGAACTTGCAAATGCTGGATGCAAGATTCAAACCCTGATCTCTGATAGCTAGAGCTGGGCGCCTCTAACATCCCCAATCTAGGCCTTAGGGAGCCTACCACGGTATTCTACCCATGTGGCTGTTTTCATCAAGTCTACGCTACAAAGATCCAATTTTATAAATGATCTTCATAATTAGAAAGAAACTCTGCTGTGCAAATAATGTGTTACTAGCTTCCTTTATTTAAAAGTTCATCTGGAACACGTTTAAAAATGAAAGGAATTCACCTGTTGCATGATGTCTGGCATGTGTGCACTACTGAGAAAGATCTACAAAATACAGGTCATTTTTTTTGATGCATCAAAATTCTGCTTCCCTGCCTGTTTCCCCCCCATCACCCCACCCCCACCAAGACCACTTACCAACAATAATAGACAAGCCTTTACCACATATGAAGTGAGGGCTGATCCTCAGAGGAGCCACAGGACATGGTACTTAAACAGGTAAAAACAAGTGAGGAGTATGAACTTGGTAATGATAGGACAGGGTACATCTCCTCACTCCAAACTCCCCTCTGCACTATTGTTCTGACTCTCTCTCCCCAGCCTCCCACTACAAAGCTATATAGCAACCATTTTTCAGTGTCAGGCAGTCATTAAATAAAACATAAACACTGTACTCCATAGGGCTGGGACGGGGCTCCAAAGGAAACCTAACGTGCAAACAGCACTTAAAGGCCCTTGGTCTCAATTCTGTTATTCCCATCACCAGCCTGGTTCTGAAAAGCCCCATAACTTGTCTTCGCCACAAGTGACTTGGCTACGGAGCAAGTTGTTTAGGGAAGCAGATAACAACCTCCCTTGAAAGAAGCAAGTGAGGCATTTCAGAAAATAGGGTCTGCAGCAAATGTGGTCAGAGGACTCCCAGCTACCTCTCAGGGCTCGTTTCCTCTGGCATCCCTCTAACGATGCTGCTTTGGTCTACATGATGGAGAACAGGTCTCCTGCACCCTCCCAGGTAGGACATGCCCAGTATTTTCTGTGCATCTGATTCAGGGGAAAGTGGAAGGATGACAGTGCCAGAGGACATTCTCCTGGTTAATAAAGAGAACTTGGGATCACCCAGAGAGGCTCAGTCTTGTTGCAGAGACTGGGCAGTAATGAGACTTGAGAGACTTATCCACCTTCAGGCAAGACCTGTCCTAAAGTACCCCAGATGAGACTCTAGCCAATTTTTAAAGACCCCTAAAAAAAAAAAAAGGTTTTTAACTCTTCCCTTCTGCACTGGAATAAAGAGAGAGATGGGAACGCAATTCATTTCCATCTCAGATTAGCACATATGTGGATCACATAATCGGCCAAACAAAATTGCATTCCATGATATCAGGCCATCTCTTCCCAGATCATCCATAACAAAAGTGCTTTCCCCATCATGGAAGCGTGTGATGGGGCTTTTCAGAACCAGGCTGGTGGTGGGGATAACACTATTTACGACATCTGAACTAAGAAAACTCAACCAAATAATTTCCTTGATCGGAATTATTCTACAGCTCCCTATAACATAAGGAATTTCATGTAAAGAAGATTGAACAGAGAAACCCAGTTTTAACTTACTGTTCCCAAATAGCTCGTGACTCATTCCCTAACCTCTTTCAGAGCTATTGCGAACACGGGCTTCCATGATTATCCCATTCAAAACTGCAACACCCTGTACCTCCACAAACACGTGGCCCCCGCACATCCTGTACCTCTGTTATGCTTTAATTTTCTCCATAGCACTTATTACCATCAGACATAGTATGTGATTTTTATTGCTCCTACTAAAATATAAGCTCCATGAAGGAAAATATGTTGGTCCGTTTTGCTCACTCTGTTCTGTGCCCTTAGTTATTAAACCCGAGCCTAATACAAGGCAGGTGCTCATTGCATGATTGTTGAGAGAACCGAATGGATACATAGCTTCCTGCAAGATTCAGCCTCCTACCTTAGCTAAGAGACGATTATCTTTCTCAAACAGGACATGGACTGAGGAATAGGCAACAGCCCCTTCCTATTTAGGATCTTAATTCTGGTTCTCTGTTCCTTGGAGTCTTGGCTCTGAGGTGCCCCTTCTCCCTCGACCTCCTGGCTCCCCGAATCCTGCCTCTCTTTCTGATGCACTGGAGTTTTCTGTAAGATGTTTCTGGGGAGGAAACCGTCCCGTTACTAAAAATAGAGTTAAGACAACCTCCAGCCAGCCCATGAGACAGACAAGCATGAAAGAATGTTGGCTAGCGCGTCAAAGGAACGCAGGCTTGATTCATTCAACAGATATTTATAGAGCATCCATTGTGTGCGTGGAGTTGTGCCAGCCCCTGGGAACACACGGAGAAGCACACCACTGTCAAAGCTCGAATCCAGCCAGGCTCCCAGAACACTTCATGATGAGATCCTGGGAAATTCGGGGAAATCACACGAGCATTGAAGAAGGAGGTCAGGAGTGTGTCCTGCCAGAGGCGCTGCAGGATCTTAGGGGCAGATTAACAACTGTCACATGTCAAGTGAAATCTGAGGGGACAGAGCTTCACATTGTGACCTTAAATAAGACAATAACTTCTTAGGACTCAATTTCCCCCAACTATAAAATAAGACGCTTGAAAGTTAGCCAACACGCAATGTCCTTCCCAATGTCCCTCCCAATGTCCCGATGTCTCTATGCTTGATTTTAGTGCCCAACCCCTCCAAAAACCCATGTTGAAATTTAACTGCCATTTTAACAATATCAAGAGATGGGATTTAAGAGGTGATTAGGCAGAAAAAGGGTAGATGCTGGGCCATGTTTTATTGTTATATCATGTGCGTGTACAAATAAGGAACAATGACCCTCGCTATTATGTGTAATTATAATGCATCAATTTAAAAATATGGGAAAAAAGTGGTGATCGGGCCATGAGGATTCTGCCCTCGGGCGTGGGATTGATGACCTTATAAAAGAACAAGTTCAACCCCCTTTTCTCTCTCTCTCTTTTGTCCTTTCCCTGTGAAGAATAGAACATTCTAGGCACCATCTTGGAAATGAAATCTTGACTCTCACCAGACACACCAATCCTGCTAGTAACTTGACCTTGAATATCTCGGTCTCAGGAACAGTGAGAAACCAACGTCTGTCCTTCATCATTTATCCGGCCTCACATATTCTGTCATAGCTGCATAAAACAGACGAAGATATGGTACAACCAGATAATGGAAATCATTAGTTTCCAGTAATGAATTGCTGAATATAGAATGTTTTGGCCAATTCATCTGAACATTAATAATGTACTTGGCACAGCAGGATGATCAGTGAGCCCCAAGGAAAGTCATTTAAATTAATTGGTGTTCTCTTCCACGTCGTAGAGATTTTTGTTACGTTGTCCAGATTCAATTCCAAAAATGCCATCATAACTGTGTTCAATACCAGATTTGAAGCAATCTTAAAATAAGTTATGGAATCACAAACTTTATTGCTCACCGTTACCACCACGCTTGTTTTCACAACTGAGACAGTCTTCCACATATAACACGTTGAACAGGGGGACAGAGCAATCTCAGTCCCAGTAAATTTGGAACCAGGAGAGACTTCAAGACATCTTACTCCTCCATCCTTTCAAATCACAACTAACACGTCGGCCAGAAATTTGTTCACTGTCATCAACTATCAAAACAGGCTAGCACAAAGACAGTGCGTGGGTTTCTGAAGTCTGTGGGGTTGGAGAATTTCTGTATTGAGTTTTTAGATATGTCTAAATCTCATTATGCTCATGGTGCCTAAGAGTCTCTACCCTGTGGGGCACTGCATAAAATGACTTGGCATCAGAAGAATCAAGTTAACGGCAATATCCCTGAACATAGATTTGGGGATGTCCTTAATTTTAAGAGGAAATGAGGAAAAGATGAAATAATATATGAAAGGATACATCCTTGAGGTGTGAAATGTGCACTGGATTAACATCTGTAATTCTACCGCTGACTAGCTGGAAGTTTTTTGATAGATCGCTGGGGTTCTTTGATACCATTTTCATATTTATCAAATAAAGGTAGTAATACCTATCAGAGTGGAGATAACACCAATTTCCATCACCTGATAAATGAAAGAAACAAAATGTGTTATAGTCACACCATGGTTTATTATTCACCATGAATAAAGCACTAATGTATGAGCCAGATGCAGTGGCACTTGCCTGTAATCCCAGCGGCTTGGGAGGCTGAGGCAGGAGGATCACGAGTTCAAAACCAGCCTCAGCAAAAAAGAGATGCTAAGCAACTCAGTAGGATCTTGTCCCTAAATAAAATACAAAATAGTATGAGTCAGTGTCAAGTGCCCCTAAATTCAATCCCCGGCATCAAAAAAAAAAAAGTACTAACATATGATATAATATGGTAGAACCTTGAAAACATTGTACTAAGTAAAAGAAGCCAATCACAATAGACTGTATATTAAAGGGTTCCAGTGTATTAACAGCTCAGAAAATCTGTATGAACAGAATGTATATTCGGGGTGTCCAGAGCTGATGGCTAAGAGGGGTTGTGGAGAGGTGGTGAGTGACAGCTAATGAGTAGGGTAAGTTATTTTGGCAGGATGATGAAAATGGACAAAACTCGGTTGTGTAATGATTTTGCAACTCCATGAAAGGCTCAGAATCCACTTGTTATGGATGGAATGTTTGTGCTCTCCCCCCGACACACACACTAAAATTTGTATTTTGGAGTCCTAAGCCCTAGTGTGATGGAATTTGGAGATAAGAATTTTCAGAAATGATGAGTTCCAGAGAAGATCATGAGGACGGTGCCCTCTGATGAAACCACTGTCCTTTGAGAAAAGGAGGAGACCAGAGCTCACGTTTTCTGCCTTGTAAGGAGAGAGCAAGATGGTTGCCTTCTTCAAGATGGGATGCGGGCCCTCCCCAAGAACAGGATCTACCAGCACCTTGAACTTGGACTTTTCCACCGCTGGAACTGTGAGGAACAAATGTCCTCTGCTTTTGACACCCAATCTGTAGTACTTGTTACGGCAGTTCAAGGTGACCACTGAATTAAACACTTCAAATAGGTAAGTCGAATGATATGTAAATCACATCTCAGGAAAGCTACTACTTTAAAAAAAAAAAAAGCCCATCAAGTTTTTTGAAAGGATAAAACCATGGAAGGCATATGAAAGCTCTTTATTAAATAAGAACTACCCTACATAATATTAGCCATATGATTATATTTAAAAATTCCTCCAGAAAATATTTTTTCAATGTCACCCTATCAATCCAAAGAGACCCAAAAATAATCCTAAAACTATCAGAGTTCCTCTCCAGCCAAACGAGGCTGACCCGTGGCATAGTGGCACTCTGGGGGCCTCTTTCTCACGAGGATCTGCGTGCCATCTCCATTGCCAGCAGCAGTTACTTCAGATACTGTCACCTTCTAACTCCTCACGGCTTGGTGTCTTTCTCTGAACACATACTAATAAAGCAGAAAAGGCAAAGGTTATAGGAGGTTTTGGGGGGGCACAGGAGATCTAGTGTAAACCCACTAGTGACCAGGGACATGGCAAGCAGAAAAGTAGGGGAAAGACTCTGACATGACACAGCCACGTTGATTCCGTTCTGAAGTCTGTGTCCCTTGTGCTTGGAACACATCCTGGTGAACACAGCTTCCTGACGTCTCGCTTAACAACTGCTGTGGACATGGGAGTAACAGGATGAGGGAGCCATTCAATAGAAATGACCGATGTCTAACCAGATGATGCTGAAAATCAAAGAGGCGAATTCAACCGCTAAATGTAATATGCTTAGGCATAAATCCATTCATGAAAAGGAAAATAGCACCTTCGCTGTATTAAAACGGGGTACAATATATTTTCCGTGATTCCCCATTGATTAAGTGCATTAGGACTAGTTATTGTCCAATTGAGTTTCCACGCTACATTGATTTCACATCTGATCAAGTTAAGTTCCGGGATTATACTTACCTTATTAATTACAAACTAGAGGAAATTTTTTAGAAGAACTATATTTGATTTTCTAAAGTTAAAAGAAAACAAAATATAAGTAAGTTTGGTTACCAGAAAACTGTAAAATGCTTTTCAACAAAAGTCACCTAAAGTTCAAAGTCAAGAACCAGACTGTGAAAGGTATTTGAAATAAATATGCAAGAAAAAAATGTTTGTATCAAAAATCTATAAAGAACTCCCCCAAAATCAATAAGAAAAGACAGTCTAATTAAGAAAATAAGTCAAAGATATAAAAAGGCAATTCACTGAAAAGGAAATACAAATTTTAAAAAAATCTGAAAATAAGCTCACCCTCATTGATAACCAGAGAAATACAAATTAAACCACTAACAGTATTTTTCATCAAATATGAAGAAGTTAACTTTTGAAAAATCCCATGCATTGGTGTTGAAGAAGGTACTATTAATCAGGGATGGCCGTGTAAATCAGAAAATTTACTTCTTACTGCCTGTTTAAAACAAAAAAATGTCCATATCTATGGCCCAGATCTTCTACACCTCTAAATACCTACTAATTTTAAAAAAAAACTCTATCATATGCAAATATGTCCATTGCAATATAATTTGTAATATAAAATAGGGAGATTGTTAAATGGAGTATTCAAGAATGTTACATGGCAGATAAAATGGATGAATGCATATGCATATTATAGATGATTTTGTCCTAATTTGCATTAAAAAATACATGAACTATAATATAATGCTTTTCTTGTCACAAAACAATACAAATCATAAAATGCATACATATGCATATTAGCCCCCCAAAAATCAATCATCATGGAGAATATAAACCAAACTCATAAGTACCACTAAAAAGTAGGGTAGCAGGACGGCAAGATTTAAATGGAGTTAATGAGGATTTCTACTCTTACTGAAATATTTTAATTTTTTTGAAAGGGAATATACAGCCACATGTCACTTAGGTATTTTTTTAAAGTACACATTTAGTATACAGCCTGGTGACTATAATGATGATTATGTATTGTATTCTTGAAAAATGCCAAAAGAGTGGGTGCTAAGTTAACATTAAGTCACCACAAAAAGTCATGAGAGTTGATGGAAAGGTTAATTATGCAGATTTGACCATTCCACAAGGTAAATATACTTCAAAACACCATGTTGTGTACAATAAATACATACAATTTTGTCTGTCAGTTACAAAAAAGAAAATATATTTTTTGAAATTGTAACTAAATTATATACTTAGAAAAAATATCTATAAACAAGTTTACAAAAATGCTCAAGTGGATTATTGGGGTGTTGCTCCATGGTAGAATGTAGGCTTAGCATGCATATGGCCCCAGGTTCAATCCCCAGTGCCAAAACAAAAACTTTAAAAAATATTCCAATGCTTTATCATGGATGGTGACTTTATCTTAAGTTATCTTCCTATAATCCCATGTTTGTGGGTATGGGTGCAAATTCCTTAAGTTAAATGGGAAAAGTGGTTACTATAGTTTGATACTCGAACATAAGAAATTTCAGACCCAACTTTTTGGAGTATCCCAGATTTCTAAGTGGTAAAATACACTATGTATACAGAAATGCTCTATGGGAGGAATAACCCACCAACTAATCCACTATTATCCATTTGAGGAAGCATTGGGTTAAAAATCTTCATTTAGCTGTAAGTTTTTATTTTGGAAATCAGAGAGCAGACCATAGAGGAAATGAGCCAAGCTAGTAGATTTTTTGCGATTAAATATTACTACATAATTTGTCATAAACACTTTTCCTTTTTAAAATGTCAAGATAATTATATGTTAAATATTATCTTAATAAGCCCTAGAAACTTAGATTTTTTAATTACAGAAACATAGGAAACGTGAGCTTCCAGCCTCCATCTTCACCTCTGGTCCTGCAAAATTTGCAGGTCACTCCAGAATCCTTCATTACCTGGTTACACACTAGTGGACAATATGACATTTTGCTTGGAAATGATATAGGATAATATGATGGAAAATAACTGCACTTTTTTCTATTGTGCCTCTCCTGTAAAGCTATAAATAAGTTGAATTGTGCCCCCTTGATTTATGTTTATGACCATTATTATGATGATTTATTTTGGGTTGAGTGCTGACAGTGTGCTGAGAGCTCTACCAGGCTCATAAGGAGAAATGGTTATGCCCCAGAGGCTTACATACCAAGACAAACAATTCAGCCATAAAACACACCAGCTAAGAGATGCTTAATCTCAGCCGAGCAATGCTTCTTGGAGTTTATATGTAGGTGGAGAAAATTTCCTCCTTCTGGGGCAAGAAGGTTAATGTTCTTTGAAAGACTTTGAGGGCCAGTTTCCAATAGAGTTTTCATACAGGGCTAGAGAGACACCCAAGTGCATGCTCTGACAGCAGAGTAAAGGGGCTGGTAGATCGAGGGTCACCCAGAAAACAAACAGTTTTAGGCACTGAGTTAGTTACTGTGGTTATAAGATTGCTCTTCAAGGGCTTCCGTCTAGTGTCGTCAACTCCATGTCCCAGAGAGGCTCAGGATGCTGCTTTTAATATCACGACCATCTCAAACCCCTTCTAGAATAATATTGGTTAAAGACATATAACAATCTAGGCCAGTGTTTCAAAATGTATATTTTAAAGAGCACAGGGTTCGGAGAATGATTTTAGGTATAGTTTTTTTTTGGTTTTGGTTTTTTTAATTGTGGGCTGGATGTAGCTCAGTGGAAGAATGCTTTCCTAGCACGTGTGAGGCAGTGGGTTCAATTCTTAGCACCACATACAAATAAAAAAGAAAAAAAGGTCCATCAACAACTAAAAAATATTAAAAAGAATATATTTTTTTAAAAAAAAATTGTGGATGTGTAAGTTTGAGAATTGCTGTGTTAAACAAAGAGAAAAATATCTCTACTGCAAAAATTTTCAGAACCATCAATGGGCTCATAAAAATTGTGAATCTCTGAGTTTGCCTACAAAGCATTTTTTAGTGGAGGACTTTGCCAGACTAGTTCTCTGGGAAATACACACAGGGAAACACCAAGGTTGGTACAAGAGAACAAAAGAGAATTAATTAAACTTCCAGTTTGTCTTAATTCTGATAATTTGAGGAGTCTTTCATTTC